CAGCTTGGATTCCTCAGGCCCTGGGAAGCTCACCACCGCCACCGCAGCTAGCTCAGCCAGTACACAGGGCCTGCAGGCTCCACCCACACCAGCATGTGCTCGCTGCCGGTGCCCCGGGAGCCCCTGCACCGAGTGGCACACACGAGGTGGGATGGAGCATGGGGCTCCAGTTCTGGCTCCCAGCCCCCCTCCCATCTTATAAACACCCACCAAAACGGGGAAGCTGGCCTCTTGTCAAGAGAAGTGAAACTCCCTGCTGTCACCCTCCTCAGACCTGGGGGGCCCCCACCTCCCGGCAGGAAGTGCTGTGGCCTCTGGAGCCCCTAAAATAGTCAGGTCTGCCGGGCAGTCCTTTCCTGTCTGGGAGGCCTCCGCCAAGTCAGCAGACACCCAGCACCTGTGAGGGTCAGGAGAACAGAGACGGAGGCTCTGACTGACTCCCAGGGCGGGCTCCCAGGACCCCAGCCTGGAGCAACAAAGGACTGAGGAGAGGGGACACAAGGTCTGGACCCTTTCCTCACCCCTGGCTCGGGGTCTTGGCCAGGCTGTTCAACCTCCTAGGTCCTCCGTCTCCATCTGCACTCAGAAGTGGACGATAGTGTTCTCAAGTCCCTGGGCGGCTAAAAGGGAATGAGAGGTTGGAGGTTCACAGCCGCCCCAAGGTGTCTGGGAGGAAAGGCGTGGTGATCTCCTTCTTAAAGCCGATCGTCGACACCCTGTGGGGCACAGTTATCCTCAGGCGTATGGGGGGGTTGCCGTGAGTCGGCCATGGCTCAACAATCACTGGTTTGTTTTAATTTGGGGGGCAGGGAGAGGGTGCTGCAAACAGCTGGAAAGAGGCTACAAGATCCTCAGTGCTGGGTGGCCCCTCATGGAGTCCCTGCCTGCCTCTTTTACTAAGGCCCTGGATCCCAGGAGGGTGAGCTGTTAGGGTAATGGGCCTCACACTTCACCACCCTCCAGCCGCCTGTTCAGTTAGCTCAAGAACAGACACAGGCCCTCGATGGCCCTGTCTAAGCCCAGGCCACTGCCCAGGGAGACAAGCCACAGGGCAGGTCAAGCAGCTGCCAAGGCAGCTAGTGCAGAGGGACTGGTACTGGAGCTGAGGGCTGGGCCTACAGGATAGGGAGCAGAGCCCCAGAGTCTGGCTGACAAGGGGCACCAGTAACTGGACTGGGCAGTGCTGACCCAGCCCTGCCTCTTTCCCTCGGAGGCCCTGAGACTAGAGTCAGTCCTGGAGGGAGGGATAGGTTCTTGGGCTCTAAGGACCAAGGACTTGCCCTTGTCCCTCTCCTACAAGGCAGTGGCGGGAGGGTGGGCTCGGACTGGATGCCTGTTGGTCGGTTCCCATCCCAGCTCTGCGTCTAAGCCTTGGTGCCCTGGCTGAGCCTTCCGGCACAGGGCAGGCAAAGTCATTTGGTCCAACCTATTCCTGACAACAAACTGTAAACCCGAAACCAAAGGAAACTCCCCGCCACCGAGTCAATGTCCACTCATAGTGACACCCTGTGGACCTCTGAGACTAGGACCATTTACGGGAATAGAAAGTCCACTCTTCTCCCTCGGAGCTGCTGGGGGTTTTGAACTGCCAACCCTGCGGATTGCAGCCAACAAGTAACCACTATACCAAGTGTTGGAGAGCTATTAAGCTGGGACCTCAAAGGACCAGCCCTTAGGGACTGGTCCCTCCCAGGGACTGCAAGGACAGAGCATGATGCTGAGTGGGCAGAGGGCATGGAGCAGGGGTGGCCACTGAGACACACACCTTGATGGTGACTCACAGCAGCCTGGCCTGGCCGGAAAGGCCCCATAACCCCTGCTGCCCACCTCTTAGTTAAAGAAGGTGTCCCTGGGTGAACTCAGGCGCAGATCTGACCTGGCCTCCAGGCCCCGCCTGCCCTTGCCAGCACCTGAGCAGGAGGCAGCCTGAACTTGGCTGTTCTCCCTGCAGGCCCAATCCTCCCAGGGGAACAACCATTCCCGCCAGGCCCTGCCCTGCCAATGACTGTCCATGGCTAGGAACCACTGCCCAGCAAGGGGTCTTCGTCCGTGACGGGGAGGCGGGCTTTCCAGTGCCCTGGCCTCAAGGGGGTAGTGGGGAGGTGGAACTTGGAGCGGCGTGAAACAGTGTTTCCACCCTTTGGCTGGACCTTAGCCCACCCCCCACCCCCTACTGGGTGCCTGGCCAAGTGGGCAGAAACTTCCTGCTCAGGGGATTGAAGGACCCATAAATCCCTGCCTGTCTCAGAGGTCAGCCCCAGTGTAAAGCCTCGGAGCTCCGACCTGCACCGGCCAGGTAAGTCCACCCCCAGGGCCCAGCCTGGGGCCCTGCACTGGCTCAGAGGAATATCCGGGAGAGCAGGAACAAGCAGTCACCTGCAGTCCAGGGACTTCTCTGGCTGCCCTCATCATGCTGGCCTCTGTTTGCCCATCTACAAAATGGGCATGCACTCCACTCCCTAGAGGGCACGACCTCTGGTGACTCGGTTTCCCCACATGTCCAGGCCCCTATTCTCAACCAAGGAGAGACTCCTGCAAGCGGCACTCATCTAGCAGGTCCCCCCCACCCAGGGGTGGACCTCAGTGAGCTTTGCACTCTCTACCTCTAGCTGACGCCACGCCGCCGCCACACCTTTGGACAGGCAGACACACACCCCTGCCCAGCTTGGATTCCTCAGGCCCTGGGAAGCTCACCACCGCCACCGCAGCTAGCTCAGCCAGTACACAGGACCTGCAGGCTCCACCCACACCAGCATGTGCTCGCTGCCGGTGCCCCGGGAGCCCCTGCACCGAGTGGCCGTGACCGGAGGCACCCACGGCAATGAGATGTCTGGTGTCTGCCTGGCCCAACACTGGCTTCGGATGCCCCGGGAGCTGCAGAGGCCCAGCTTCTCTGCCACGCCCGTGCTGGCCAACCCAGAGGCCACTGCCGCCTGCCGCCGATACGTGAGCAGAGACCTCAACCGAGCCTTCACCAGCTCT